AAAAAAAAAAAAAGGTTGTTAACATGGAAAAAGAAAACAAGAAAACCTAAGCAAAGGTAAGAAGATGAAGTACAAAAAATCCGTTTACGTCTTTCGTTTTTTGTTAACGTACAGGGTTTATCTTGACGTCATTCTCTAGTAATCCTTTTCACAGGTGGATACTTCTCAGCACATCTAGGAAGAAATATGGAGAAAGTAATTGAAAATTGAGGCATTTACGAGTAAAAAATGATTCGAAATAATCTGAAATGTTTATGTAGAAGCTACTATCATCAATTTACATACTGATCGTTGGCAAATGCAATCTTAGAGAAAATAATATAGAAGAAAGTTGAATTATTGCTGTTGCTATTAGAAAAAAAAAAATATCTGAGTAATGATGATGATAATAAAACGATAGTAAGTAGCCGTGCGGAGTTGTCCGAGTGATAGCAACAGCAACTGATGAAGAGTGAAAAGATTTAGGAAAGCATGTGGAAAAAAAAATCAGAATACATGGAATTAGAATGAAAAGTAGTGTAACTTGAAACTGTAAATATAACCAAGCAACTTTTAAATCTTCGATTAAGATTTGAATGGCAAAATTTTGATACTCAAGCAGATAACATTAGATGAATTATGCAACAATACATTTGTTCATAGTAATAGTAGTAGTAATATGTTGTATCATTCATCAGATGGGCAGGAAAATAATGATTGGAAGAGATCTGATCTGAAGCAATAGGGAAGAAGATCAACTTGGCTACTTCGAGTTGATATAGATGATGAGGAATAGTTCGTTAAAAGAGTAACGAACTATTCCTCATCATCTATATCATCACTTTCTGTGTGTCGTGTCATACGTAAAGTTAATCTTTGAGAAGGGACGAATGAATGTTCGCGTTCTTGCAATTCGTACACATTTCATTGAACGAATATATTCTAATCGTTCTTCATTCAACATACCTCAGCTGAGCTAATGAAGTACAGATAGATAGATGAAAGGCAGACAGACGTACGTACTGACAACCAATTATCATTGAAATGTATTCTGTATGCGCCTGTTCCTATCAGTTCAATAGTGCTTTCGTTCAACTTTTATTAACTAATCAAATTATCAGCTAAGGAGAACAACTGTGGAAATCAATTCTTTATACTGATCAGCTGTTGATACAAAATGCAAAAAGAACTAACAATATGTAATTTTATATATCAAATTATTTACCATTTCAAATTATCTAGATCATTTCAAGAATTCAAATTATGTTAGATTTATTCATTTACTTTTAGTTTGAACATACTTATTGCTCTCTTCAACTTGGAATATATCATTCAGTCATATCTGCTGTAGCACAGGTAATTCAAAAACTTTTGTGACAGTTTTGAATACAACGTGATTCGTACACAATTACTCAAATAGTCTATCAATCAATTTAGATCATCATAGAGAAGATAACATTCAGTGATTTTATGCAGAATTCTACAGAATTCTACTACTGTGTAAGTATAAAGCAATAAATATATGTGCAAACCATATGTGGTGTGAGTGTTTCATATTCAGTAGACTTATTTATATATAACTTATATTAAATTACTATATTTAGAAGCACTAAATTCTGGATATAGTTATACGTAGGATAAGGACTCAGATGGTACCACAAATTATAAATTATTATACTAAATGGCATGCGATAATTTAATTGTGTGTTAGCACTAGAAGGGAAAAAAAGGAGTGATCATAAATATTTTTAGACAATGACATGATGTGATTCATATAAAGCTTCGTTACTTTCTTTCTCGATCCATTTAAAATGAAATAATTTTTGCCGAGCATTCATTATGCGATCCATTTACGCTTCTATGATTTTGTTCTATAATGTTTAACTCATTAAATTTCTTCTCATTGGTTTATTTTATAATTAGGTTTTATGGTACTTGGATTTAAATATTTAAATTTCAATCATAATTTATTTGAAAGGAAAAGTTGCTGCTTCATTGTTTACATTCATTTCAAAATTTGCTCGCGTGCATCTTACTTTTTTTTTTCTTAAGTTTTCTTAGGTTCTATTTTGATTATGGATAAGCTATCTTCTCCGATATTTAAGGAATGAATGTCATAATTATTTCAGCTCTTTTATGAATAAAGATAGCAGGATGTGGTCTCAGCTGAAACATAATTATTTTCAATTTTAATTTCGGTATTTAAGAAGAGACTATTCAGGAGAATGCTGAAGAAATTTAAGCAGAAAAACATGAAAATTGGAAAAGTAAGGAGGGAAAGTTAAATTAATTGAAAATTTTTGTTCCAATAATGAAAAGCATAAAGAATACGAAAGAAAGGAGTAGAAGCAAAATAAGTTAAAAGTTAGAAGTTAAAAGTAGTAAAATGAAAGTGTAGTAAACATTTTTTAATTTCCTCCAAAGATAGGCTAAATGCTGTTCGAATAATACTTCACTTATCCATTTTACTGCTAACGGTAAGATGGAATTCAAATTATCAATTTGTTAGCTGCAAATAGGCGACTAAATATCAAAAGTATGTTTTGTGTACTAAGTCTCTGATTCATAATGAACTAAGTAATTGTTAAATTTGATTTTATTACTTGAAATTAGTCAATGAAAACTTTGTCTTTCTTTCTAGTAGCATTTTCCTCAGTTAGTACTTTTAATAAAAAAAAAAAATGTTAAATCATTCTTAAATTGTGATAAGTAGAAAGGAGGATTGAAAAATGATAAGAGAAAAAATAAGTTTAACTTTTAACAGATGATGAGCTTATTCAGGCAGTAATTTTCTTTTATCGCTTTAATTAGTAATCAGTATGCACTGAATATTCATAAGTTTTGCAGTCATTAGGAACTAATATTGCTTTCAAAGCTATACGTCATTCTTCAACGTTTTAAGATCGATTGATCACTTTTGAAATACGTTTCATCTGATTTCCCTCAAACTTCTTTTCATTATCATTATATCACAACATCGTAAATCGTATATCAGCAAGATTGGTAGACGTGAAGTAAATGTGATGCATATCACTTACGCCATTTTCATGTTCCTTCTCTAATGATAGCTGCAGAACAATTACGCATTCTACTGTTGCCTGAAATACCTGAAATTGTTGCTTTTTTAGATGTGAGAGGTAAATTGAACCATAATTAGTAGTTGTGGTTCTGTTTTTTTTTTTAAATAAAAAATTATTTTGAATATATGATAAACTGACAGATTGCGGCACGATGCAGCTTTCAGTGGAAAGAAAATGGGAATTGCTTGTTGATTTCAACTTTCACTCATATCATAAATCAAAAAAAAATGTGATTTATTGTTTGAAAATTTGTCTGATGTTGCTTATTTTTTCAATAGTTGAAAAAAAAAAAAAAAAAAAACAGTTGAGCGGTCATCTCTCTTATCTCTCTCAATCATGTTCAACTGTTAAGAAGTTTTGAAATTTGGTAAGTGAAATTTTGAAGAGGGCAAAAGATGAATGGTTATGATAATAAGTCTAAAATTGAAAAGGGAGGTGAGAATTGAGGGAGAATGAAGGAAGGAAGGAAGGAGAAAAGAGATTGTACGATGTTTCCGCTTTTTGATACAACGCTGATAGATGATGCGATTGATTGATTGATAGATAGAAAGATAGGTAGATCATAAGATATGCACTGCCTGACACCAATCCTTCCCTTATATCCCAACATCAAAAATTTGTGTAAACCGGAAGGGAAAGCAAGCAGATGAGACAATTATTGTAAAATTCGTATTTCGTTCAAAATCTGTGGGACAAATTATTGCAACGAAAGAGTCTTATACCAAATTAAACAGTTCTCTTCATAACTTAAATGAAATGCGAATTGAATAGTTCTAGATTTTGTCAATTTCAAAAAAAAAAAAAAAGAAAAAGAAATGAAGTTTGATAGGACCAAGATTTTGTGCACTGAATTGCCCTTCTAACTGCAAATACGTCAAAGAAAAGTGAACATTTTAAAAACTAAAATGAAGACAACAAAATAAGATTAAATAGATTAAAGAACAGAACAGAAGATATTTTGAGATTAGTGCCTCATTTATCTCAAAACGAAGAAACAATCATCTGAAAACCGTTGACGAATATAACTTATTATGCATTTTTAGTTTTTTGCTTTTATTCTAAAGTACTTAACATCAAATAGGCACTAATCTCAGATAATGACAAAATCAAAATTAGTGTTATTTTAAATTGAAACGAATCAATTAGATCAAGGTAAATTTATCAAACATTTAAAAATAGATCAGTAAACTCTAACATTGCTCACTGTAAATTTAAATATGACTAAAACAGATTACACTTAATTAAAGTGCAAAAATACCTAGGACAACACTGCATATCAGAGCAAACTAATAAATATTGTGATTCAAGTTCTACCATCAAAAATTAAATTTTACTCTTATTAACAGTATTCTACTCTTAGACTTAATCTATCAATAAGAATATAGTTTCACGGTAGGAATATTTAACTTATTTTTGTTTGCTTTTATAATTCTTTTCCTTCTTACCGAAAAACAAAATTAGGGAAATTGATGAGATGAGATGAGATGAGCTTACTGCAAGACTTGTTGATATTTTAGTAGTTAATAAATAAGGTGAATGTAACAAATGACCTCTTAGTTATGCCTTACAGAAATCATATGGCTGTCCAATTGTCCGATACGGATTTTATTTCCATTCTTTCATTTGAATAAATTATTGTTCTCAATAACATATTAATGCTGCTTTACAAAATTTTTCAGATCTTTTGAAAGAAAAAATTGTGAAATTTTTAAGCATTCTAAATTAAGCTTTTAAAATTAGAATTATAATACCTTTTTTAATCTATTTTGTTATATGTATTTCTGAAAGTTAGAAATTGAGATAACAGTGATCGCTATTTTAAAGGACAATATTTATTATTTTTTTTTTTTGCACAAAAAAAAATTATTAATTGATAATAAATTAATCTTAAATCAAAGTTCTGCAGATTTGTAGGGTAATTTGAAAATTGCTAATACAAGCATGAAATTGTCAGTCACACTACTTATCGTACTCGTTACTGATTGCATTGCGTGGCCAAAAAGTGTAAGTTATCTTTCTTGCAAAAGATCAAAGTAGTGAAGTGGAATAATTTTGATCATTGCGGAGACTCTTACTTCTATGAATCATAGAAATGTCAATTTATTTAGGCCTAAAATCTAAATTAATTATTTCAAGAATTGATGGGGACAATTGCAGATTGATCGAACAGGTAATGATTTGCCAATTGAACAACTAAGTAGAATTTATCAAGCAATGTTGCTCAAATCAAAGCGTAGCCGTAAGTGGTTTCTTTTTATAGCTAGCATTTTCAATTCTACTAATGATAGTATTAGGAAAAGTAAGTTAATGATTATAGAAAACTTCTTATCAACAAGGACATTATGTTCAATTTTTGGTATAAGTTTTCATCGATTATTTTTTAACCAGTATGATATAACATGAGTTTTATAATATCATTTGAAAGGCTTAACATAAATAAATGACACCAGTAATTAATAATAAATATATTATCTTGGTCAAAGCTTGAATTTCAATTTTCAACTAGCAAAAACTATGGAAGCGGTCGAGAAAACAGAGCATGAATGAATGAAAAAGAAATTGTTTGATAAATTCAATATGCTTGCAAGAAATGTTTTATTTCGTTTATGTAAAATTCTGTTGATTGATTTATTAAAATATCTAAAATAAACTGATAGCTATGAAAATTTAAATTTACAGCAAGCATGGGCTTATCATTAGCAGAATATATGGCAAGTCCGCAAAGCCAGGATAACTTCCATTTTATACCAATCATTCGCCGTTGAACAGTGCAGATGACCAACATTTAATGTTTTTATTATGATTGATTTTATGATAACAAGTGAACATTGTGCTATGTGACGACTTCAATAATAAACAACATATGAGTTACATTTGCAATTTCGCTTAATTTAATTCTAAATTTAAATTCGATTCGAATGATAGAATTTACCAAATTCTTCCGAGAAAATCAACAAACTACTGTAATAATGGACTCTGTGTTGTTTTCACTCTCTAATTATTTTTTTCCATATGTTTAATTTGTGAATAATGTGAACGGTGGCGATTACCTTTGTTACTAACAATATTTTGCAAACATTCCTCTTTCAGCACAGTAGCATCTTCTTTCTGTAACCAAACGTGATATCTTTGTACAATAAATAAATTGTTTGTTATTATTTATTATGAAGAATCACTTTAAATTTTGGCTGAAACGACAGATCATTGAGGAGAAAAAAGGAAAAAATTAATGAAAAGTAATGAGAATTTCGAGAAAAATCACAGAAATGATAAAATTAACAAAGCCTTTTGTAAATAAAATTTCGATCGTCTTTCACACAAAATAATGTACATTTTTTTTTTCTTTTCTAAGCTATAAAGTAATATTGCTAACAAAAAAATGACTAAAGAAGTGCAATATGGAAGGTTGAAATTTATTGAAAAATAGAAATTGATCGATTTAATGTCTTTTATTTTACCCATTTTAGAATAGTTATCATATAATTAATGTTCCGTAAAAAAGGCAAATGTAAATGTGCTATAATAATTTCAAGGGTACTTGCTACGTATATGTTTGAATTGATCTTGTTAGCTTGTTAGCACCTGGTTAGCCACGTGTTCTTAACAATCTGTTAATGCAAGAAATTAAATATTGACTAATATAAATAATTTCATGCATAAAACATCGAAAAAAAGAGGAAAGAAGCTAGATAACATCATAATCATTACACGGTGGTACAAGCAAGTTAGGCGTAATAACGTGTCCATAAGAGCGTCCCTCTATTTCATTGAATACCGAAATGAAGTCAATATCAAACGTACGGTACGTCTTCGGTAAGCGTATCATCACATTTTCACCATTATAATTTCTTAACGGTTGATCGCTGAAAATTTGCATCACAACTCTAATTATAATATATGTGAAAGCTTGCTGTGATTGCTAATAAATGAGCTGAAAAGTCACGCTATAATACATCAACAATTAATATTCCGGAAAATACCATCCCGGATTTAGCAAAAATTTTTCATTAAATTTCTTCCAGATTACAAAAATCTTCTGTAGCGTTTCTGTTACAAAAAAATTATGAATGAAATTAAAGAAAAAACTTACGGTGGTTGTCCAACAACATAGGCGCGTACTTGTTTTTCGATTCTGTCCGGAAAATGTCCAATACCTGCGTAGAAATATGTTTCTGAAATAAACGGAAAACAGTAGTTTTTAAGTTATAATGCGGAATTTTCCTCGTTTTAAATTGCTTCAAAAACAGAATATCAAATGTAAGATACTCTTTCAGCTATTGAGCGTATCTATTTTAAAAATTTTGAACGAATAAAAACCTGGTGGGTCATTTCCTTGATTGAACACAAAACCTGGTATAAAGATTGTATTACAATTCAAAATTTGAACACGATGTGATGTAACGTTATGAGATTGACCCAATAATGCACCAAATTTTTCCTCATGCGGTGGATCGATTCCTTTCAGTGATAAGAGAGGAATCGTTCTCTTTAAATAATCTTTTTTTTTTAATTAAAGATTATAAGATAAGACATTAATTAGCATCCCAAAATTAGCAAAATCATAAATTCACTCTTCTAGAAAGCAATGAATTAATAATATTATCGCAGTTGAAATCATATACTTATTTCTTAAATTTCAATAAATAGTTGCTGAGAAGAATGTACTCACCGATGGATAGCTATCAATCACTGTCAATTTTTTTGTTATCTTTTACACAAATAACAAAAAAAAAAAAAAGTAAGCTGAAAAAAAAAATTGTAAAATTAATAAGCAAACCTGAGAACAGTGATCACGTAAAGCAATCCATTGATATTCCGTTATTTTTGCATCGTTTGTAATCGAAAATACCACCGTCTTATCCTCAATTAATGGTAACTCAAAACGATGATCGACCTGTACCTTGAAACGAGACTTAGTTGTTGCAACTGTCGTCACTGCTCTATGATCCAACTTATTTTCGTATTTGTTCTAAAAATTCGAAATTATCTTAATCAAGATAAAAATTAATGTTTCATAGCCTATAATAACAGACCTTTTTTCGAAGTTCCATACGTCTTCGTTTTTTCAGCCTAGGATCTTGAATAACCCAGTATAATGGTGTCGATTCTCTGAACGATAATGTTGTGGTAATTGCAGCACTTTGAGTTGATGTGAATACAACACCTTCATCTGTTTCGACAATTCTATCCGATAATGAAAAATCACCAGTGGTTAACTCATCATCATTATCTGTAGATAGAATTAAACTCATGTATTTTTATTAAAATTGTTAACTCGTAAGCAATATTACAATTTTATTAGCTATATTAAACTAAATTAGCTATATTATTTGACTGATCCATTTGTTTAGATGGAAATCATATTTAGATAGGAATTCAGATACAGCAGCATTAATTACCGAATTTTATGCTTTATTAATTTATATGGCAGCAATGAATCATAAACGAAACTGAAAGCAAAGGAAGCAAAAGTTGTTTACCAAATTCAATCGTAAACATATTTTTAATACCTTTAATTCGCTTTTCCGCACTTAATTGTTGTGACGATTTTTTAAACCATTTTTCAGGCTTAGCTTGACCAAGCATAACTGGAAATCCTTTGTCTTTTCGGTCAAATTTGCTCGATTTCTCAGCCATCTTTTCATGATGCGACAATAATTTTCCCTACGAACAGAGAAATTCAAATAAAGGTAAATAGATGCAAGAGTGACAAAATTCCAATATATATAAGTTGTGCGATACGACTGCTTAATTCCACTGTGACAGCAAAAATTAAATTTAAGTTGATGTAAGTAATCAGCCATAAGTAATGAACTACCTGCTGAAGTGGATATGCATTTCGTTCATATGGGAAAATTCCATCATTTGTTAATCTCTCATTGTTACCATCGTCTTTGATAACATCCTCAGTTCTACAATTTGTCCTTTTTCTTTGTTCCTGATGTAATGTTTATTTCTTTTTTCTGTTTTCAGCAACCTTCTCAAGCAAAAAATTGAGATCATAAATCTTGTAATAATTCAAAAATAATTAATTTTATGTAAATTCAAAAAATTTGTTCCATGAAAGTTGCGAAAACAAAAAAACACCATAAACAGTATTTTAAATTATAAGATACATGCCATTGGAAATTTTTGAAAAATAATTTTCCTTCATTCGACCTTTTAAGTTAATTTATGACACTGTACCAAATTATTTTAAATGCTGGTTTCTTTTATAGAAAAGTTAGCATTTATACAACCACTTACTTGAAAACATCATTCGCAAACATTGTACTCTCTATTTTGTCATCACCTCCAAATTTAGAGTCAGTGTGTAAATCTTTAAATTCACTCCACGTTGATTTGATAGTATCCATCGTAGACTCTTCTGTTGATCCGCCAAAAATCACAATTTAAAAAAAAATGAGGAAAATCAGATAGACATACACTTCCTGATATTTCGGTATCAAATTCTTCAGGACCAACAAATGTTAGATGTTAATTCTCTCTCAACTCCCTAAAATTGCTTTTTCAAAAACCAAGAGATAAGTTGACATCAGTGTTACTTATTCCGTCTTCCCTGTTTGTCTTCTGACCACCTTATTTCAAATAATGAGCAAAATTTTAATTACTATTAATCATACTTGTTGTATCTGTATTTGTAATGATGGTTTCGGTGGTGAAATTCGATTGTTCAATTTCACCTTGAATTTTCACGGATACCTCACCACCATCAAAGATATTGGTTCTAAAATAGTACAGAATAAAAAAAAAAAAAAAAAAAAGAAGCTAAATTCTGGCATTTAAAATGACACACAAATATTCGAGAATTTAAAAAAATACGCATTTGTGTCGAACAGTGTTATTTCATTCGAAGAGAAATCATCTTGAGTAGTAGCGATGGAGAAAAAAATTACATTAGAATTCCTGGAAATTAAAATAATGTGATATATTAATGAGCAAAGGATGGTAAATTTGAGGATTATTGGTCCAAGTTTATAAATTGTTCAAATTTCTTTTTTCTAAGACTAATATTTTATGTTAGATAGCCATGCTAAACATAAAATAAACAAACGTTGTTGATACTGTTGATGAATCTACAGCTTCAAGAGCGCTGATTCCCTCAATATGAATGTCTTTCGTTTTAGGGGTAACATCTTCTGATGAATTTACATCGATTTCAATCCCCGCAAATGGATCTTTTTGCTGGCTCGGTATCGGCTCTCTACTATCTTTATAAATGATTATTATTAACCATTTGTCATATAGAATTATTCTGAAAGTCATTTTTTGCACTTTGCAATGCCTTCTAAAGCTACAGATTTAGTATACTTCAATAGTGAAGAAAAAAATTTTTGCTTCAAATAATTCAGTTTCATATATTTTATCTTGGAACTTCAAAGAAAACCTTTTCGAAGTTCAAGATGATCAAATTCAACGGGCCAATTACGCATCCCAAAAATAGAGAAAGGAACTTGACGGGTAAATCGCCTTCTAGTAGTGGATTGAGATGCTACCATAGGTTGTGAGATTGACAAGAAAACACCACCAACAGCTGTATTACGATCAGTCGCTCGTGGTGGTCCAATTATTATCGAAGTACCTAAAATAAATTAATTAATTCTAAACACTTTTAAAACTTTTTTTAAATGAGAGAGGTTAATAATCATTCTAATGACAATAATAATTTTTAAAAATGTCATTGTTTTACGTCAAGATACACAGAATTATGCAGATTTACAGAATTATTCAGCTTGAAGATGAAAAAGATAAAGATGTAATAATGATTACTGAATATGTAAGGTATCAAACGTACATCCAGGTTGACGTGGTCGATGCGTGAAACGATGAAAAATGACGGTATATTCATTAGCGGCATAAGCTTCCGCTCGTGTATTACCATCACTGTAATGAAGAGCTCCGAGTGGTACTCCGTAATAAGGATTATCATTATTCTGACCTGGAAATTATCTCACCTGCGAATCTTATGCCTTTATTTTTGTCATTAAGAATAAAAAAAGCAGGTATGTATTTAAAATTTTAAGAGTGATACATATCTTTCATTTGGATAAACTTACTATTTGCGTGAAGGATTTGTCTCGAAGAAAGTATAAGTAATAATGAAATCATCGTTATTAACTGCAATTGAAAATATTAGGCAAAAAAAAAAAAAAAAGAGGAGTTTGAAACAAATTTTTGACTGAATTTTTCATCAGTATACATTTCATTCTACAGCGAACGCAAAGAAAAATGCTATGTAATTAACTTGCTTTGCTCATCCGTCATAATTTTCAAATTTAGAATTTCGAACATTTAAAAATCATTCTATTAATAGCAGATAGGATGACGTTCTTCAGGTACCAAAAAAAAAGAAAATAGTTCTGCAATATCGAGAAAAATAATGGATATGAATTGAAAGAGTTATGTACAACTATTTATAGTGTTTCAAAAAGTGTGGAATAGAGAAATCTGAAAATAATTTGTCATTTAGGGTAAGATAGGTTGGATGTGCGTTGTAATAATGTTGTGTGCCGAATTTGGGATGAATTTTGTTTTGTTTTTTTTTTTTTTTTTTTTTTGTTTGTTTGGAGAAGTCATTTTATTTGAATACGATAGTTTTGGCCACGTTGATAATGCCATGATGATAACGACGTTGTTAGCGTATGATGGTTATAGCAAAGGTAAAAATAATGAAACTGGTGATAGTAATGATAAAATAATGATAATGACAATAGTTCTGTTTCTTTTTTAATTTTTTTGCAGATTTGTGTAGATCATGATACTTTGTGAAAGAAATGATGATAACACGCATAATGACATGGAAATAAGGTCAGTCCCACATAATGCCTCTTAAATAAATTTCAAAAAGAAAAGTGTTATTTTGACTGTCATTGAACTGCGAAATCTTTCTTTTATTTGATGAAATTTAAAAAGAAACATAAACTCCGGAACGAGTAGCATCCATCCATTTGCCATTGGATTAAATTTGTCCTCGTCTACCTATTTTTTGAAATGTTTTTCTTTCCCTATTTTAGTTTTTTGCACTCTTTCATATTTGGAATACTGTCTTGGTCTTTTGAATTTTTTTTTCTTTTCTTTTTTTTTTTTGAAGTAAATAGTATATTTTACTTGTCACCATTTATTATTACTCAAAAGATAACAGCTAGACTGGTTTGCTACTGAGAAGTGAATTTTATTCACAAATAACTCTTCGCCTTTAAAAAAAAAAAAAGAAAGTTTGAATGCTTATCTGCTTGTGAAAATTGCATCATATAATCTTGAATTCATTTTATTAAGTTTATTTTAGCAGAACATTTGATGTTCTTCAATACCATTTAATTTTATTATAAATAAGAAAAATTGAAAGCGTAAAATGTGTGAAAAGGCTGTATATTATAAGATTTAAACAGAACACGAGATACTTCTCTGTTCACCTTTGCCGATTTGATTTGCAAAAGGATTTTTCACTTTTTGTTGAAATATTGAAGCTTTTATTTTTTTTTTTTTTTCACACAGAAAAATCGAAGGTTTTATGGTTTCTTTTGTTTTCTTTCAGACTAAAAAATATTGTACTGTTCTCAGTGAAGTGAATGCATGCTATTTACAGATTTGTTTAAGTCAAAAGTTTTTAATTCAAACTTTAATAATCAAGGGTGAACAGTAGAAGAAGAAGACAATTGACTAATAAAATAGATCAAAATGTTTTTTTTTTTTCTTTCAGACATTAAAAATATGAGCACTGACCTTCTCTGCGGAGAGAATTACGCTTTTTATAACTTAAGCAATCAGTGATAGTGATAGCGATAATATACAATACTACGATAAATTAACTGAAAAGAAATCGCTATCATCAATATCAATATTCAGCATTTTTTTTTCAGTTGTAGAAAATGATAAAATTTGATGAACTTCGAAATCAGAACATAAGTATAAATAATATACAACGAATTGGGTAATATTCACTCTTCCTCTTCCTCTTCTTCTTCTTCAGCTTCTTCATCTAAAAATTTGTGTAAAGAATTTAGGTAATATAGGAAAATTCCCAGGTAAGGTTTCAATTTTTTGCAAAAGTTCATAAATGATTGTCAAATTTTACCATATAATTTTTTTCTTTTCAAAGGTAAAAAAGGAAAATAGGATTGACCTCCTTCATCAGCTTCTTCAGCACCTTCTTCTTCGGCAACTTCTTCAGGTGGTGCAGCTTCCTCCACTGGTGCTTCCTGCTTCTTCTCCTCTGCTTCAGCACCACCTTTATCACTACCTTTTTTGGACCATTCAGGCTTATCAGTTTTTTTTGCCATTTGCTAAAATGATGAGATAAAAAAAAAATTCTACGATTAAACGAGCATCTTATATGGCAAATTTCTCAAATGACAAACTTCATGCAGCTAAGCATTACAATGAAGAATTAATTATTTGTCTTCTTTAACAAATAGAAAAAATGAATGAACTTTGTTAACGATATCATCGATGACATTATCCTTTTTGACCACTTTAAGATTTGCTCGGAAGTCCTGTTTATCTTCTTTTTGTCCAGCCATTTTCTTGAATCTAAACAAATCATTGAATTTCATCTCATGCTGGATTAACAGATTTGAATCGGTGTATGACATCCCATAATAAATTATCTTTTTGAAATCATACTTATTGTCATATTTTGATACTTTCTTGAGTGTTGGTTTCACGAATTTTCCTCGCAAATCATTCACAGCAATTGTAAGTTCATTGATCTGGAAAAACGAATAAAATGTTTCAGTCTTTCTAGCATATACTTTTTGGAATGATAATTTGAATGATGAGATCAAGTTTTTAAATTTTTTGTTTTATACAAAGTATTTTTTAAACGAATAAAATTTTCATACTTCAGCATCTTTAGCCATGACTGCTTGGTTAATATCGTATTTTTCTTCTTCCAACTTTACCATATGTTGAAACAGTTGATTGTAAATTGCTTCCAGTTTACCTATTCAGATCAGTGAATTCACTAATAAATTTTAAAGTCTTTTTTTTTTCTTCTTCAAATCAGAAAAGGTTCATTTATCAATACAAAAATTTTTTTTATGACTTTTATGATTTAGTTTTCCTGCTACTAATAGATATTTTCTGAAAAAGTAATTAATTGATGGACGAAGATTTTGCTTTTATCAACAAAATCAATTTTGTGTACCATGATCTTCGATGCTGTCAACATCTGGTAATGGTATTGTACGTTGCGATAGAACTTTTTGTCTTTCTTGCTCTTTCAATAATTGTTGCTGTTTCAGATCTTCTGCTGCTTTCATCATAAGCAGCTTCTGGAATTTTTAAAAATTTATGCTACAATCAAGCAATCTTTTGCTATTTCCATCAATTTTAGTTTTTAATTAATTTCATTTATTATAGAAATTAACTTAAAATGTCTTACAAGCAGTTAATTTTGTGAAATATTACTGTAAATGTGAATTTAGAAAGCTCACACGAAGTTTCTTCTTCCTTTCTGGAGTCAGAAAACCCTTTTTTGCCTTTTTCTTTCCAGCTTCTTCGAGGCGCTTACGCACTTCCGCTTTTTTCATTTCTCTCTCCTCCGCTTTACGTTTGGCCTCCTGCAGTAATAGCTGAGTTTAATGAAATGAAATAAATTATTGATTTTTACGATAATAAATCAAAAACAAAACAATTGGTTTTTGTTGTCAAAAATTTTCACTCACTCACTAATTTTTGAGAACCAATGATATTTTCAAATTAAAAATTTTTACTTTTTTGAGCAGAGTAAGTAATCAAATTCAGGAGAAATAATAAATCATAAAAAGGCTAAAAACAATTTTATATACTTACGGAATCATCGTCTTCGCCGAGAGGACCTCCATATCGTGGACGATCATCACACTCAGGCACTTCGTTGCTCTTATATTCATTTATATCCATACTGCAATTTGTAAGTAATTCTTTCAGGTTGAATAGGAAGCTAATCCGTGAAGGATTATTATTTTTAAGAAAACGAATTTGTTTATGTCCTATCAAACAATTTATATTTAAACATAAATCCTTGATAATTTATGCAGATCTATGAAGAATATGTCTTAATTTCTGAATTTCTCTTAGAAAACTTATTACATAAATGAATATAGAATCTGAACAAACTTTAAGTTTAGCAAAGTTAAAGTTTGTTGAAATAACTTTAGCCTGAAAAAATTTCAACACTACAATGCTTCAATTATTATATATTGGCTCTAAAATTTTTTACTTCATTCATGGTTAAATGTAAAATTCATAATTTAGATTCGAGAAAACTGAACGATACAAATTTTGAATCTGTATCTTTCATTTAAGCTAAAATATTTGGACAAAATCTCATCTTTGAAGCTTTTCATTCGTTTGAAATTAATTAATGTTTGCTCTATTCTCGCATAATTCCAGTAAATCAAAAAAAAAAAAAAAAGGAAAGGTTCTTTTATTGCTGGTAGAAAAAAAAAAATTGAAAACAAGAAAAAAATTGAGAATCATAGATCTCAGCTAGCAAAGTAGCATCGTTGGTACATAAAGTTTTATCGGTAAATCGTTCTTAACTACCTCTTCACTCTTCACGGCCGAGTATAACGTGAAAAACAAAACAACTGACGCCTCTAACGAACAATATTTGTATCATGGCTAGCTCGGGCCAATAGATGAACTGATAATTTGTCTAACATTTTAACATCAATAATTACAACTTTTTCCTTCACTGCTAGCAGAGCTCTTCTCTTTCCCTTTCTCCGTCCTAATTATTATCACAGCTGATGCAAAAATTAAATTTTTAAATCCGATACCCCTATAAAAATCTTAATTAGTTTTTAACTGAAAATTCCTGCATTCGATGCTGAATATACTCTAGAAATATAAACATTTTGTCGAAAATTATTTTAGGAAAGTGGAAAATTTTTCAATATAAATAGTAACAGAATATTCATAGCTTATAACAATTGAACAACACAAATCTATTCACTTATGATGTATAGTAAAACAATAATTAAGCATCTTTTTTACTTAAAGATGTATTATATTAAAATTTTGATTGAGAACAAAAGTTTTTGTACGGATATTTGGCTTACGATATGGAAATTTCGATAATATACAATCGAAAAAGAAAGAAAATTTAGTCTCGTCAGTATTTGGAAAAATATTTCGATCAGAAATCGGTTTATAAATTTTAGTATTAAATACTGTATGTGAAAATTAGAGGAAAGTTCGAATTGTTCAGAGATTGTCTTATAATTTATACTACTTATATAAGCTGATTTATAATAAAAAATAAAATACCCAATAATCATGGTTCCTATTCAAAACAACGAAATTTGATTCAAAAAATCTTTTATGTGGGTGTACAATTATATTACAAATAAATAGTACAGAACTGTTCAATTTTTTATCTTAATTATTAATTATCACCCTGTGGAAGTGTCGTATATGATATTTTAAGAATCTATGATTTCAAAAATTGAAAAGATCCGTCTTTCAAAAAAAAATTGAAAAGACTGAAAATGTTTTTTTCAAGATTGCCTGACAATAATAAAAAAGAAACGAACACATCGAACATCACAGAATATTCCATTGATTTTACATAAGGAAGTGATGAAAATCAAACTAAATGAAAAGGAGATGGTAAATGTGGACGAATCATTTGGTGGATGAAATAATAGAGGAAAGGAAACTTTGGTAAGCTTTATATCAAAATTTAATTTAAAAAATAATCGGTTATGCATTTTGGTAAGGATAAGATGGCTATCTGTTATAAGCAAGCTTTAACTATGATAGCCTAAACTAATTTATATTTCTTCTAACTGCTTCATCATCAAAGAGTTCTGTTCATCCTTACATCCCGATCTTCTCCTCTTCTCTTCTTTTTACATCAGTGTTGATTTTCCCCTTTCTAAGATATATTCCTTCTCTTTCTCTCACTAACGGAAACTGCCACTTTTAACTTCAGAGAAAAGATAGATTTCAGAATGTAAGCAGTAAACTCAACAGCATTCGTTAAGCACACCTGCAGATGCTACTACTTCACATCGTGAAAATTCTTCCAACTTACCACCAACTGCTCCAGCAATGCTACTTTCTTCATTTTCTGCTTTGCTCTCACATTTTCTTCAACTGAGCAAATTATAGCCCACGCTTTTCCCTTCTAACTGCGAAATTCTTTAAGTTTATCTGCTGCTTCATACACCTGTACCATGCAATCTATAGATAGACTCTCGCAATTGCTTCGCTTTTCCTTTTTTTTTTTTCTGAATATTTTACGTCTAAGCAATAAAATTTCGCTTAAAATGAATGTGGAACACAGATTTTAAATGCTTCTTTGGAAAAAAAAAATCCTTAAATTTCATGTTTTTGCTTAATCTAAGTTCTATAAATCTCATGAAATTGCTACTAACTTCTCGAATTTTAATTATTTCCTTAAGTGTTGATTACTTGTAGAATGTGCGAAATCAATACAAAGCAACAAGGCTATGTTGATGTATTGGAATGATGAATCAGAGAATTTCGAAGCTGTCTAGAATAAAACATTTTTGCTGTTTTGATGAACTAAATATTTCATTGAAGCGTATTTATGAGGTGGATAGTTCTAGGCCTTGCAATCAAAGGTTTGATCCAGTTTATTCGCTTCATTATAAAAATCCGTCTTTATTAATAATTTGAATTATTCCTCGCTTTCATTAATTCAGCCCATCATTTCATCAGTTCAGCGAATTTGGTTTTGAACCTCAATCTATAAGTTTTTTTTTTTACTTGGAGAATACAAGAAAAGCAATGAGTGGAAAACTTTATATATATATATATATATGGAATAGCATAACTTTATTTTCATATAATTGAGATCAAAAAGGCTTATTTCTTCTCTTTATGCTCTACAAACTTTCATACGAAGAATTAGGAGTGCATTTTACTGTGAAACAAATTCTAAGATAAACTTTTTACGCTCGAGAATATTTCACACCAATTATAGTGATATACTTTACCGAATCCTAATAGCACAAAATTGCTTTTCTTGTCGTAAGATGATATGCTCGTTTAAAAATTACTCAAAAATATTTTTTTAATATGAAAATATTTGGTTCCACATTATGCACGATTAACAATACTCAAATGTGTTGATGGAATTTGTAATTGATCCAGAAAATTCAATAATAAGAAAGACCGAGTAGAGAGGACGAAAAGTTATTGCCAATATAGCAGATTCCTCATATGTTTTTCTCCTCCACCTTATGCAGTCGAAAACTGAACAATGGTACAAAGTTTCATTACACTGTACATACGATTGTTCTCCTCTTACTGCCTGAAGCTTTCTGAAGATGATTCTCATTTAAATCTTTTCAACTACCTTTTCACTCTTGTCTGTTTTTTTTTCCTTTTTTCTCGTTGTTATTTTATTTTCTATCCTTTCTTCTGTTAAACGAAACAACTTTCCTTTTTGTTCTCCTTTTCCATTTCCTTCCTTCGTTACCAATGAAGGTTTGCTTTTGCTTTTCCTAAAGCTGTTCACGATTTCATCCTTCTGCTCTTCTTCATCCTTCAATTTTCAACGTATTCAATTGTCAATATAAGTATCATTGTGTAATAAAAAAAAATACGACATATATTCAAAACATCTAATATCGACAAGGAACATAAATATATCCATGACAGCAACTTTCATAATGCTATAGAATACCATTATGAGAACCGAAAAAAAGAAAAAAAACAAATAAAATGAATAAAAGTTTTCAAAGATATACCTTTAAATCGAGTGCTGTAAACCATTCCAATGATTCAGCGTTTATATTATCAAGTAACTGACAAGGAAAGTGCTCACAAATAAGGACACCTGAAAATCAATCCATCCATTTCATTTAATTTTCAAACTTATACTTGCCAAGCTGTTGAGTAAAAAGAGAGGGAAAGAAGAGCGGATATCTTTGTCCCTGGTTTCTTACTACCATTTTCAAATATTGGGTCATTCCGGAAGTGGAGCAATCTTTTCCGTAATACACCAGTGCATGTCCTGGACGGCAAACTTTCCATTACTGAATTTTCCCTTTTCCAGTTTCAGCTCCATGCTACTCTGTTGTTCATCTTTACGAGTAATTAACTTGCATTCTGATGAAAGCTCTCTTTCAGAACAATTCGCTCAGCTCCCATGAAAACCGACTAATCTTACCTAGAGAGAAAATACTCCACCTGAAATACCCTGACGGATCTTAGGAGGGAAAATGTCCCTTCCAACGGGAAGTAATTGTGGAAATAGAAGAGTGAACGAGGCAGTGATACGGTGGCGATTTGAACACTGTTGCTTGTTGGTTAAGGTGTCAGCAACAAGTATTACTTGTTAGGAAGTTTTTTGGGATTTGCTGAGGAGGATTCGAACTTCTCCTCCGGATTCCCACCGAACTTCTCTCTCGTTGCTTGTATCTGTCGTCCGAATATCACAAATGTTGTCAATCGTTAAAAGGCATATTACACAACATCTTTAAATTCTGTGGATGTCAGTGCTCATGGTACTATCATAATTAAATTGATTTCATTGTTGATAATGTTAAAGATTGAATTGAACTGATCTGGAATACCAAATATGAAAGACAGGCTGTCCGACTTACAGCAGGTATGTTGATTTGTTGTTTGATGTCGATAGCTTTTATTTTTCATTACTGGCACTATTTTCTAGTGATTGTGTGGCGTAGCTAACCATAAGAACTGACATGTGACGTACGTCAAAGAGCTTAAGAATTGTAGTCGTTAAGCAGTCATTTTGGTTTAATCTTAAATGTAGCCGTGATGTTTTTCTTAGTTTGTAGTTCTGAATAAATTAAACTTAAAAGTAGAAGTAGACGAAAGCTTGGGATGTTCACAGAATGCTAAGAAGGAGATGTCGGCTTTGGTGGAACAACTGGAGGAGAAATGGGCAGATACGTCCGAGAGAACGAATTTGTTAACTAAAGTTAGTAGCAGCAAGGTCAACACGGTATGAAAATTTTGCCTTTTTTTTTCTTTCATCATTTCAACCACTGATCATATCTCATGGTACTTTCCGATAATACATAAATTGCATTAAGGCTCCTTACATCTCCATGGAAATATACGGATGATTCTCCTTATTTTCAATTATTATCGCATATTTTAAGTTTCTAACGCACGTGGATGAATTGGTAAATGATATGAATGTGATGGAAAAGTTACTGGATGAAATAAAAGATTGGCACTGCAAAATCATTGCTGAACCAGGAGATCATCCTGGTAAATGTCATTTATCTTATAGATTTTGTTGCTATGGATGGCGTGGATGACCGATTGTTTGATTGACTAGTCTGACCAATCTAGAACAGCCAAATCTGATATGTATAACTCGGATTAAGGCAAACAGTTTTCTGCTGACCAGTTCGAAAGCTTCTTCAGTAATAAATGAAAGCTGCAGAAAACAACGCTAGGATTTCTGGAGTAGAAAATTGTATGGCCATTTTTGGTAGGACTTGGTTTACAGAAACTGATTTAAGAGCAGAATAGTTAATTTTTAAGTTCGCATGTTGTCATCATTAGAATAGCTGAAATAAGAATTGCAGAAATGAATATACAATTAGATGACGCAGTGGCTTCTTACACAACAATACTTTATAAAACTCAGGCTGCTCTTAAAAGTAAGTACATCCATCAATTAAAAGATGATGGATTTTTGTAAAACACAATCATTTTTTACTCTTAACTCCGTATTTGAAATGGTTTTTAAAGTTTTTATTGAGATATAAGTGCCGAAATTGAACGACAATTCGATAAAGCAGCAGATGAAAGCGCTCAAACCGTCGAAGCACGGATTAAAAAGAATCAGGTGATATAATATGACATTTTTGATCTTTAATTGTTTTGAAAAGTCCGAAGTAATATAATACTTCGACCTTTTTTTTATATTGTAATATAAGTTTTAAGGTGATGACGCTAACAAAAAGGCTGCAGGGTCTACTGATCGCTTTCAATGATGAACAATTAATATACAAAGATAAATGCAAACGAAAAATTCAGTCGTACTTGAAAATTTGTATGCTTCTATTCTTTTTCTTTATTGGTTATGTTTCGCTGTAGTACACGAAGATACTGCAGCGTTTAGAAATTGTTTGCTTTGCTATGTTATCAGTTAATTCACTTTTATATCTAAGACAAATTATCTGTATATCTATGACAGATTAGTTTAGTTAGCTTATTTAAATGCAAGTTTAGCTTCAATTCACTATAATGTTGAAAGATTATAACGTCTTAAATAATATTACTGTTAGCTGGTAACGCAGTGAATGAAGAAGATATTGAAGCGATCATCGAAAAAGGAACTTTATTTGAGCATACAAAAGGGGTTAGCTTTTTCTTCTTTTGTGAATTTTGTCTTTTGTTGGAATATGTTATGGTGTAAATTGTGTTTGCAAATAAATGAGGATGTTTTTCCTGTATGTTAATTGAACTACTATTTTACTCATTTATAGCTGTTGTTAGCGGAACGGGATAAGAAAGCTCTATATGATGAAGTAAAGACACGTCATGATGATATTGTGAAATTAGAAAGCAGTATAAAGGAGCTGTATGGCTTGTTTGTCGAATTAACAACTCTCATCCAGAGTCAGGTGTTGTGACATATTATTACGTAAAATTTATTTAAAAATTGTGGATCCTAAAAAATTTCTTTGCTCAATTATTTATTTTTTTGCAGAGTGAAATGCTAAACAATATAGAGCGAAATGTTGAAAGTGCTGTGGAATATGCGCAGAAGGCTCACACGAACATGATCAAAGCTAAAAATATGAGGGCAAATGTCCGGAAGGTTGTTCATTTAACTGTTGCAATTTTTTAGATCATAGATTTGAAAAATTTCCTTCGGAAAATTGAGATTTTATTCTCTTCTTGCTCATTTCAATTTCAAAATGTATGTTACCTATTTCATGCATTTCAGAAAAAAATGTGCTTACTAATACTGATCATCGTTTGCATAATCTTCATATTTTGTGTGGGGACGATGCTGTTTTGCTTTTATGTACCATTTCTCTGTCGTTGAAAAAGCAAAGATCTCTGTGTGCCATCATTTCTTATCTTAAAAATTTCACTACTGACTGTATAAATCACTGCCACACCATTGATTCGTTCTTTATTTTTATGGAAATTTAACTTCATGTTTTCTTTAGATAGCGTAGCTTACCCCAATTTTAAATTTTCTTGTCGAATTTTGGTCAAAATTTGGGATCTAAATTTAGGATATTTGTAGTCGGACTTTGAGATTTAAATTTGTAATATTTACATCAAGCATTTATTCCATTTATGGTGCCTATTTTATCGTCAGTTGGAATTTCATTTCTTTCATTGAGCCTTATTTCATTACATGAAAATTTTTGTTGTGATTATTATTATTCGCTTATCATGTATATTTGTTAAACTACACTTTTTCCCCAGTATTTTTCAGTGAAAACAGCCCTAGTATCTTGCTTGGCGGTATAAATGTGTTCATTATTAAAGTTATTAATCAAAATGGCGAGTTTTTATTCACAGAGATGTAATACTCAAGAAATAAAAAATATGGATGGATGGTAAATGGTCTGGTTAGTAAATTTACAAATATTAACAATGATGTGTCGCATCATGATGTTTCAGCAACAGATTCTCCCAGTCGAGCGGTACCAAAAACTGTTAATTCAGGTATTGTTTCTATAAATATCAAATATAAGAGTTTGTGGGTAACCTGGTTTCCTAACTAAATGAAGAATTAGAGTCCTAAGACATCTGAGATTTTTTAATCGTTTTTAATGGTCGAACGAAAGAGTTGGATTAATAAAAGGAAATTAACATCATTCATTCTAGAACTTAACGCTGATTTGCGAGACTGCATGAGTTTTATAAATGCATGAAATATCATACCTTGGTAATTCCTCTGCGACCGGTTATTTGATAGCAATTGCCTTAGGACACTTTGTTCCGGGCTTGATTCCTCATCGCATCTTAGTGAACTGCAAATCTTTTATGTACTTTAAAAACATTATAGTTTTATTTGAGTAGGGATGCATCTCGTGTTCTGGTTTATAACTAGTTGTTTACCTATGTTACCAGCAAGTGAGTGATAACGTCGATGATTTTGTTAATAAAGTCAGAAAATAACTCACTTGCTTCGATGATTAATGGCGATGAACTGAGTTTTAAGATTCCATGGATTCGTAAACGGTATCCAAGTAGCATTAACTTTAACGCATTGTTTATTCATCGCCCTGATTCTGTAACTCGTTTCCCTTGTATCACGCCGACTTATTACTGTAATTATTTTTTAAGAGGGTTATTACAAACATGTTTGAAGGTAATAGAGTACATAAGCTTTAATGTAGTCATCTTCCCTTTCAGAACCTGGTATTAATCATTCTCTTTTATTGCTTATTTCACTTTTATCCACTATAACATGACAGTAAGACAGTAACTTTGGTAGCTAAAGACATTATTATTTGCATATTTTAGCGTTTTATAAATAATATTCGTTATTAAAAGTCAGTTCATGCTGGCTCTCATTAATTTTTGATGAATTTTTAAGGCTGTTAACTTAAATGACATTATGAAGTAGATAAAGAATTAGAAACCTTGTTTATGATGATATGCAACGTCAAGTAGATCGCCCTCATGGATAAGATCGTAATAATAACATCCAGTAAGGTCTTGTGGAAGATGTTTTAGGATGATTGGCAATCTAAACAGTAGTGGTACGTTTGTAAGTGGATGTATAATTGAAGCTTGTACATTTATAAAAGTAATGTGTTTGTGATCATCGCGGCAAAGTTATCAGATCTCAGCGAAAATTTTAAGCTCACAAAGCTGTGGAATTGCATACCCAGAACCGCAACGGATGATCTGACCGTTTGGTGTTATAGTTATCTGAAACTGCTCTTCTACACCTGTAAAGAAATGTAAATTAAATCTGACAGACACAGCAATCTTATCATTAGAAGATTTCCCACGTTCAACGAACCATGAACGATTTCAGTTTAAAGTGAATTTCCAAGACCTGGCTTTTTTCAGTATTTTCAAGTTTTAGTTTCTGTTTTCTTTCTCAAAATACTGTTTATTTACCCGAAAAAAATAGTTTGATGAGTAGCATGACCAGAATTGGTTTGTCAGTATGACGTAGTGAACCGTAACAGTGGAAATATTCGTAATTATGTTCGAACTGATCCAAACCTCTGTAATAGTTTTTGTCATTAGTTTCCACTCAAGCGGAATTTTAAAGCATTCTTATCATCCAAAATTTCTTCATGTAGGAAATTGAAAAGAAGTGACAGTAGCATACTTTGAATTACAGACCCGCAGACGACATGGGAATGAGCGCCTCAAGCCCAGGTTCCATTCTGTTTTCGACTTGTAATATCCTGTACTCGAACTTACTGTTTCACAAACTGAATTTAGTATGAAAAATAAGTGGCTTATTATAAGATTATGCATTTTCTCTAACAAACAATAAGCAAAAAGTATTTTATAGCCTAGCAAAAAATGGATAATTTATTAACAGAATGGTGAATGAATATTTTGACTTCAACAATTATTTTTAACACTTGAATTAGACCTGAATCGCTGGCGTTGACATTTTCATTCCGCTCCATACTGGTTTCCTTTTTGAAAATAGCCGCATCTACGGGGTGTAAGATTTCGTACCAATTTCTGATTAACCATTGAAGATAACATAACATCAGTCAATTAAGATAATAGATAACAATAAATAATAATAAAATAATAGCTGTAACAATAAGAACACTAATGTATAATATTAACAGTAGTAAAAGTATAAGTAGAAAGCAATGCGGAATAGATTAGGTGAATCACCTGAGTAATATTTAAGTCCTAAGATAGAGATTTAAGATCAGGTTCTGAGGTTTTCAAAAAGCATCCGAAACATTAATGGACATAAAAATGGTGCGTCTTTCTTGTGTGAATATTAAAATAAATTTTGTATGAAAAAATAAATCAAGTTTAAAGTGAAAATTACATTCCGAAATTTTCTTATTAAATCTGTTCGACCAAATTTCTGCAAGGATCAAAATTTCGTCCAATCCATTCATTTACGGATGTCAATCAATCATATTAAAAAATTACTAAGTGAATATGGGAAAATATTAAATTACTAAGACAAAATACGTGGAATGTATTATTTTGTTTCACCTAGTAACTAATTTAACAGTGAATATTCATAGCTACAAATAATACCGAGCCAAAACATCGTCTCCCAAAAATTTACGTATTTCATCGGAAGCGTACAAAATTTTCCCGGATGATACATCAACGACAGCCATAAAGTGCTCAACATTCTGAAAACAATTTCAATTAATTTCTCGTAAATAAAAGTGAAAGGAGTTTTACTTGTACAACCTGCAAAAAGTCAGTGAAAAAGTTTCGATGAAACGATTTGCTACTAACGATATGAAGACATTTCGATCCTAATGTTTACAAACTACTAGTAAGATTGAGTATGCCTATGAACAATAATTTCAAACATTTTTGAGAAGAGTTAGCAAATCGCTTATAGTAACATGCTTCGTGCAACAATCATAATTCATTTCTTTATCATTCGATGTTCCTGAAAAAACTAAAATATCTATTTGATCTTCTATTTCTAGTTTACGATATTCTTTGAATTCCTTCCTTCACTCAAATTTCTTACGTTTCATGTTCTTTGATTCTTACAGAAAAGAGATAGATAGGATGAATAAAAGTTTTTCAGTTTTTCAGTTTTTTTTTTTTTTTTCAGTTACAATTGAAATATTCATACTCATTGTGCTAATATGGTCAAGTGCAAGTCGCAGTAGGGAAAGTTTATCAAGTTTCCGACAAAATGTTGACGGTATCAGTGCAGCCAGTTGTCCCATCAATTCATTCATCCGTTCACGACGTCGTTTTTCGATTTCGGAGTGATTATTACTATTAGTAGTACGGTTTGCTAGCGGTGAATTCGGAGAAAAATCCATCCAGTCATCATCACTAGAATAATCTGATCAAATGATATCCAAATCTGATACTATGAATGAGAAATAAAATCAGCGATAAAGAAAAAATTTGTAGTGTAACTTTTTGTTGTACTGATGACTTAGCAATTTCTGCATTTACCTTTGAAACATACTGCTATGATAACAATCATTATAATAAATTACGAGATGTGCTTAGATTTTTAGTGCAATGTGTCATCTTGGTTTGGTACAGTTATAGTAAGGCTCAAAGTCAAACTTATTTTTAGTCCAATGTTTGATGCAGCAACCGAATGGTAAGAAATATTTGATAGAATAGTGAGGCAAAAAGTTGAATTGAGGTGAAAATGTGATGAGCAAATGAAAGTGTGATTTCGGAAGAAATTCAACAGATTATTAAAAGAAATGAACAAAAGTGCTTAGAGTAAGCAAACATTTCAAATTTGCAAAGAGACAATTTCAAATACAAATTCAATTTTTACATTTCACAGATTTATTCTCTCTCATTTCTCCTCAGGAACTCTCTATATATAAACTATTTAATTATTTGTTTGCTTTCCTAGTATTATTTCTCAAGCAATTTTTGTAATGGGGTACAATTCATTCATTTAACAAATAGCTGATTTATTCAAATTCTTGCCATTTCCCTTAAAAATTATTCAATGATTTATAGTTTGACATCAAATTAAAGATATTGCAGCGTATCATTTCGATCGCGGCATATTTAGTAGTGTGTGTCATTGTTACCAGTCATTTGTTTAGCCATATCAGCACTGTCATTTTGGACGACAGCATAGTAACAGTGATGCAAAACTTGATCTTTCAACATTTTCATCACTTTTTTTTTCTCGTCGTGCAACAAAATCATACAGTGCTAGGTTGTTGTAGCCAATAGTTGTGAAGTATGTGAGACATTTCTGGAAGTAGTGGCAGCGAGGTTAAAAAGACGCATTAGCAATGAATGGATGAGTACTTTTTTTACACCATTTGGTCTATCATCTATCGTCCTACAATCATTGATTATCCTCAGTTTACAGTTCCATCCCACTTCTTTAACTAAACTGAAGTTTGACCATATGATCATAGCTTTGACCATCATTTTTCTTCCTCCTTTATTTGTGGATTTTATTGACAAGAGACAAGGTGAAACAATTTCAAATGTCATCAGTTTGGATTGATGTGACCGACAGTAAGAAAATCTTTTCCTTAATTGTTAAAAAGCATACCTCGTTGCTGTTTTATTTGTATTTGCATCGTTTCTCTATTCCATATGTCTTTCAAGTCGTTCTGATTTGATTTGATTTGATAAGTGATGGTGAGTGTAAATTATAGTATCATCAAATATTAATGCAACTTATCCATGTATGTGTACATATACGTATCTATGTATAAATCTGTGTGTGTATATGTATGTGTCTGTCTGTCGGTAAGTACCCAAAGATCCAAATCATTACTACTGATATAAATCGGACTGTGGTACCATTTATTAAGAATAATCGATTTGTTAAGGTCACATCAAAATGTAAAAATTACTTTTTAGTCGGTCGGTTTTATGTAAAACTTATCAAAACTTAAAGGTATGATGGGGCTGACCAACTCAGCAATAAGCGCAAATGTTTTTGTACTTTAGCTCTCCCAGTTTCTTAAGCAGTGTTTTTCTTAGGCAGAAAGACAAGTACAACAGGTTGAACCAAAGTTACGTAATATTTGCAAACCAAATATTACCTTTTTTTACGAACTGAAAGAAAAAAGGAAATTTCATGGAAACTGTCTCTTGTCCATTTGCATTTTCCATTGTTCAAATAGCTCACTAAGTTTTTTTTTTTTAAACAAAGATTGAAGATTCAATAACACAACACCACTGTCAATCACAAAAGCAGCTTCTCCTACCATTTACGGCAAACTTTTAGTGTTAAAATTTCCGGGGAAATTTTTCAGGATGACCTGACAATTAACATTCGATAGAGGGAATTTCTGAGTTCCCTATTGCACGAGATATATTTCCATAATTTCTAGACAGATTTTACTGCTTACGCTATGCACAAATGACACAGCTGACTACTGGATGGGATTCATTTAGCTTAGCATAAGTTCCAAATTTCCTTCAAAAATTTCGAAATAAATTATCGATTACCTCTACTCTACGCTACCCTATTTCAACCGAAACAGTAAAAATGGACGGTTAGTCCTTTCCCAAAGCGAAGGGTAGGGTGACTTGCCTGACCTCTTTCACTCTAACCCTAAACGTTGAAACGGGTAATTGCCTGCTTTAGTGTGCTCTACTCTCTGTGTCATTAAGCTGATAGAATGGGTCGCGCATAGGTTATTCCTCCATAGGTCAGGCAATGACAGAGAATGAATGGATAATTAGTTCCAGTTCTATTATGTCTCTTTCATTTCATTCAACACTCTTCTATCTTTATTTCCTTTCCATCCTATCTTATTCAGACATATTTCACCATCCTTCACCCTCTCTTCCTCCTTTTCCTCCATTCTTGTCGTCCAATGTCACCAAATACTGCTAACCTAAGTGGCTATTGCAGTGACCCCTTTTTGTCCATCATTATGTAAGCTTACATCATTTTGGCATCTTTTTCTTGCTTGCTTGCTTACTTGCTGCTGCATTATCAACTGTGTTACTTTCCTTTCTTTGAATACTTTTAAAGATTAACGAAATTTTGATTGAAATCTGCTAACATTCACTTGTTTAAATTAAAAAAAAAAAAATAGATTTTGGAAATTTAGAAGAAATTTTGAGAATTGAAACAAATCATTACTCCATTCTCTCATCTCTGTGCAGACTTTCCATTGCGAAATTTGAAAGTAGCTTTGAGAGTAAGGTTCTATCTCTAGAAACTGCATTTCGTATATTAACTAGCTTTATTCGAAGTAGCCGTTTAGTATAATTCAGCACTTCCGAATCTTCTTTAGGGACTTATCCTAATACTCTTTATCACCATCTTTTTAATATTCGGTAAATCTAATTTTGCAACATAAGTGTGATGTAATTTTCGTGCTAAACGATTATGTTATGTGTTTGTTCTGATTCAAATGAAATTATATTGTGCTAATAATTCCTCATTTTCATAAATTTTTGATAAAATGATATATCAACGCAGCATATTTTTCTAATTCATCTAAATCCATTATATTGACAAATTTTAAATTCCCCTGATATTTTGTGAAATATAAAGCCAACAGGGATTCTTAGGAATACTGACATTTCTGACAGAAGAATTCATACGTTTTGATTTTTCCTTTTTTTTTTGTCTATCTCTAGCTACCCTTAAAAGGGCAATGATAAATTTTAGTAAGAAAGTAATGAATCTATGATCAACTGTTATATGAGACGAGATAGTTGGTAGTTAGTTTTTGTCGATGATATCAATAAGCATCATAATTGATCACAGTGATTCATTTCGATAGGAATACAGATCAAAAGCCTAGTAACATACATATTTGCTTATCTATTTGCAGAACGTTTTACCAGTTCCGTGTTGACAACTAGGAATCTATTTACTTCTTTTCCGTTATCTGAGTAATTAAGTCCGCCCCAGTCAGCCTGGATTATCTATGGAATAAATTTCACACTTACTAGACCTTGGTACAAAGTACTACACTGAACTCTGAAAGTGCCATATACGTGCTCGTAAAGTATGCTGGGTATACCATTTCTGGATAGTGCGTTTCTGAAGATATTTTCGCCAACAACATATGATGATCGTATCGATCGACTTAATTATTTTGTCACAAGTTCTCTGCTAACATTCTTTGCTATCCTCGTCTCAGCAAAACAGTAAGTTAATTCCTGAATTTTCTTAAACATTTATTTTTTCTTCCATACTTTTGTTGCAAATTTAAAATGAAACGATCACTATAACATATCCAAATATTTCCCAACTGTCTTTATTAATATATTCAAATTATTTTTACATATAATTAAAACTGCATTACATTCAAAAGCACTGAATATTCTCTCGCTATTTATAAAATTTTGTTAGTTATCCGAAATTTGGACATTCCAGATATGTGGGTTCACCAATACAATGTTGGGTACCTATGGAATTTAAAGGTGGATGGGAACAGTATACGGAGGATTATTGCTTTATACAAGTTTGTTGTCATGTTTCCTATTCAACTTTTAATTTACAAAAATGAACAAGTTTTAAATGTTAAAATCATCGCCAATTTTACTTAAATTAATACTGAACTGGAGATCACATTCTCTAATTTTCATATGCTTAATTATGTGACTTTATTAGATATGTATTTTTTGAACTGAAATGGCGGAAAAATTAGAAAGATAATTCAACTTATGATGTAATAAATGGCTATTACAACTGTGTTGATTACAGAATACCTACTGGGTGCACTTTGATGATCCAGTACCAGAAGATGTGAATGATCGTCACGGAGCTGAAATTGGTTACTATCAGTGGGTACCAATTATGTTAGTGCTACAGGCACTAATGTTTTTCATCCCAGAATGGATATGGAAAACACTCAACAAACAAAGCGGTTACTTATTCTCAATATTTTTTTTTTCCAAATTTTTAAGCACTGCATGCCACACGACTTTTTTTTAATTCGATTTTTTTTATTTCAAATTAGAGTTAAATGCACTGCTTGGTTGTCACTAACCAATCGAACAAACTTAATTTTCATAAATATCACGTAATGATAACTTTCATTCCAAAAATAACCTCTCAATTCACGAAGTCATTAGCAATGAGCACGATATATAAAATCCTAAAATAAAAACTTTTTGGATTATTTCAGGATTAGATTTGGATACAATAGTAAAAGGAGCGAAAAGTCTAAGGTCATCAAAATGTAATGAGCGAAAGAAGGAATTGGAAAAACTAGCATCGTTTGTTGAAGAATGTCTCGAATTCGACACACCTCGTCACCAAAAGCGTTTCTTCTGTTTCAATTACGGCTACTCATTGGGTTCCTATGTAACCTTACTCTACCTACTCATGAAATCTCTCTTCCTTATCAACATATTCAGCCAATTTATAATCCTTAATAACTTCCTTGGTACCAGTCATAGTCTTTGGGGATTTCAGGTGATTTTTTTGTGGATTATAGCTTTGCTTTCTTCTATCTTATCCTTTTTCACTATTCAACGCTAACTTGAATTATATGATCTGCAAATTATGCAGTGCTGTAAGATTAGACTTATAAGGAAAAATGATAAATATGCCAAACATACAAGTGAAGATCTTAGATGTTACTGGATCTATGGCAAGGTCGAGAATGGCTAGATTCTGGTGTATTCCCGCGCGTAACAATGTGCGATTTCAAAGTGCGACGCTTAGCAAATATTCATCGGTATTCGGTCCAGTGCGTCCTAATGATCAACATGTTCAACGAAAAAATCTATCTTTTTATCTGGTTTGTTTATTAATCTGCTTCAAATAGAAAATACGAGTTCGCGAAGTCAAAACGATAATATTTAAAAATTCCAATAACAAGGTTATGTTGATCATAAACTGTTTTATATATCACATACTTATTCATTTTATTGAAATGAGTCATGGTACTTCCAACAAGTGGTGAGGTTTTTGTTTCTGTTAAAACTTAAGTGTTGTTAAAGAAGGACAAACTTTTACAGGTTTTGGTTTCTGTTTGTTGCTGCATCCACACTACTGAATTTCGTCTACTTCATTTACAATACTATATTAGCCTCAAATCGCGAACGTACAGCACGATTGCTTCTTCTACATATAAAACTAGATGATACACCTATGGATCAAGCGATACTGCGTCGTTTTGTACATAAAGCATTGCGACCAGGTTTGTTACTAACGTTTTCACACTAATTGCTACTGCTAACAAATTTTGAAATATAAAGTTTTCAATTCACAACTCCACTTTACACATTATTTAACTTCTTATAATTGATTACTGACTATCGGAGATGTGAAATTATAGTTGAATCACGTGATTTCATTAACAAAATCGTTGACTATTAAGTTTCGAAATTTCTTAGAAATACACAGCAGAAATACATACAAGCTATGAAGACACTCTATGTTGCTATAATTTGCTACCAATTTTTTTGAGGAATTTAATCAACTAATTCTAGACGGTATATTACTTTTGCGATTTGTTGATATGTATGCTGGCGGTATGATGGCACGTGATCTTTGTGGACAACTTTTCGCCGATTTTTACCGGGAACAGTATCATCGTGCAATTGGTAGTCATACAACAAAAAGCTCATCACCTGGTCCTGATGATGGCTTTACTGAAACGCAATATGATCCAGAAAAGGTAAGCTATCATAACAGTCTTCAAGATTATCTTTAACTTACTGAAGCAAAGTATAGGTATCTTTTACTGAATAAAAGATATACTGCGATGTGTAAGATAAAAATTAAAGGAGTCCATATTTTTCATTTGATATTCTTTCCTATTTGAATCCATTGTGGGAAAGCGAATGGAAAGCAATCTTGCTATGATTAATACTAATTGCTTTTACCGAAAAACCAAAAAATAAAATTAAACTAATTATGATGTATTTATTCTGGAGAAGTGTTACCTAGTTTCTTAAATCGGTCCTGAATTACACTAACTAACAGCTCTCATAATTTGTAGCTACATGGTCCACTGATGCAACCAGATGCATTTACACGAATGGTCAAAGGCAAAGCTTCATAAGGCACACACTTTAAAATACTTGAACTGCTTCTTCGGCTTGACTTTCACATGGTGCTGGGTACAAATTTTTGTTTTAACCAGAAAATTTTGTAAATGGTATTTCTGTGATTTGCTGAACTGGCAATTCTAGACTTTTATCTATTGCATTTAAAATTAGGAAAATCGTATGCCTGTCTAGCTGGATGGAACCTATTGAATATGTTGGATCTTTTTATTCATGAAATTACTAAACTGGATCGAAAAGCAGCTTTTCCTATCTGTCTGACAGAATAATATTTCGTATGGTAAAAGTTGCGAAAATAGATTACTGGATTTATAGAAGGGAAACAGAAGAAGAGTTTTCTGTCTTTTCTGATTTTCTTTACTTAAATCTTTCAATTTTTACTGCTCGCTTAATTTTAGCTGTTTCTTTCTTTTTTTATTGTTGGAAATATTATTGTAAGGTTCTCACTTTCTAATTTCTTCCTAAAAATTCTACTAAGAAAAAACTCTAAAGGAACGGTAGAGAATTGCATGTTTAAAGCACTTTTTATTTTCTCTACCTTCAACAATTGTTGTTTTTGTTAAACATTTTTGAATTTAAAGTTATTTTATGATTGTTTTTCTTCGGTTTTGTTTTTATTGAAAAAGAATTTTTTAATCAATTTTTAATCAACATTAATTTCAAAATTAGGATTTTTTGGCACTTCGCGGTTGACTTTTTTTTTTGGTTAACTATTAAAGATTTCTAATAATTCCCTACAACTCAATATCCAATGAAGGAAGAAATAGGATTGTTAAAAACTCTATCCCTAGCTTATGATTTCGACAGTATATTTGAAAATACTGTTACGGAGATATGGAATCGGCATAAGAACAAATTACAATTGAAATGTTAAGTAATTTTAAACGACTTACGTTACAATGCAATCTGCAAGTTTATCATCGTGTATTTTGCCGGTCATTTTGAGCAACTTCGAATTTGTTTCCTGAAATTTTCTTACAGATTAGTTTTGATGAAAGTGATCAACCATAATTATAGACAAAATGATTGTCGACCGTTATTCATTTTTGTTACCGTCTTTATTCATAATTTTATTCGTTTATATGTGTTTACAGCTTGTCTTTTGTCATGTCAAGCCGGTTGAAAACATTGTTATTCTCTTGCAAAGTTGTCAGAATGTTAGTTTTTCTGATTGGAAAACGTTAAATATCAATGATTTACATTATTGTCTCTATGTACAGATGCAATTTACTGCAAAGTATATTTCCAAACGTTACTCAATTTCCTCTTCAATTCTAACGACAGCTCTACCAAAATTACGCTAAGCTATTCCCTAATTCACAAAATTCCAGCAAATAGCGCTAATTATGACGAGATATGTTTCTAAGTTTAAGGAATGTTGATATTTCATGGAATCACTATCAAAAATAATTGTGTATGCATTTTTCATTGCTCTGAAGGTTTCATTAGTTGGCAGAAATCATCTAAGCCAACTGAGGAATGCAGTGCTACTTGAGAAAAGTGTGAACTTTAGGAAGCATGAAAATTTTAATTCAGAACCATATCACGGTTTTAAGCATCTCGAGAAATCCTACTTGTAGAAGATTAAAAGGTTATACTGTTGGTATGTATGGCGTGATTCAAGATAGGATTAAATTTTGAAAATTAAAAGCGGACAGAAATGGTTACCTTGGGAGTAAGAATTCTGGCGATGTCTTGGAATGATTCTAGCCTTTTCAGTGACAGAGGAATTGATTAGCAGCTCAAAGTGATGTGGTTCTTATGACTGCAATTCACAGCAGTGGTGGGTATGCACATATTTTTGAAGGTCACAGCTCATAAGTTCGCAATACCGGTTATTGGTGCATTTCGGAAGAACATGCATCTGCAATGCAATTTAAGCGGTCCCAGGGTATATCCGGATTTTCCATGTTCTGCTTCTAGCCTGGTCGACATACAGGTTTCGTACGAAGCGTACAGATTCGCGAAGGCGAGAATAGGTATTCTCGAAAGGATGAGTTGAGGTGTTCCATAAGAAAAGGAGTTTTGAATTTCTAAATTTATGATTACCCAACAAAAACGGTGGCACTTAACCTTCTAAAAACAGGATTTATGACTACATTTATACCAAAAACAACTACTACATAAAAATAAACCTCACGTTGATTTCATTATCGTTCAGTAGTATAGGAGAGGTACCAATTTTATGAGCAGTATATCTTTTAGTAGTATTAAAATATGAAAAATGAAGCCACCCTGATAATTGATACTGTCTTAGAGGATTGTACGCACCTCTAGACTTGCTAGATGCTAAACAAAATTCCCTCTTACTGATTCGCCTACGAATCATATGGTAAACATTACAGCCAGTTTATAACTATTCCACGTTTGGCATGGATTTCTGGTTAAACAGCGCACTAAATGGGTTACGCCAAACCCAAAATCATTTAAACGTTAATTATTCAAACGCTTTAGATCAGTTGCTGCTACTCCGACCAATGCAGCGAAAGTTTCATCTGTTTTGTGTAAAAATAATAACTTGATGTTACTGTGTCATCCTTACTAATGAATTTCACTTGATAACAAATCTTGATATCAACAAATACATACTGCATCAAAGATAATAACAACGTAATCCACGCAAGTGATTCATGCTGCTCTTCCTATATGTCTCGAGAGTTCAAAAGAATCGTTTTCAACATTCTGTGCATTACATCATAATGGAAGATTGTACGAAGACATATTTTGGAATAACTGCTGCAAAATTAGCCTACGTTTACACTGTCCAAACATCAATCGAGTGATTCAGCATCCTAAAAAGCGTTATATTTATATTCTCCCTAAATTAGTATTAGTTCAACCATGCGCCTCAAATTTTTTTACAGGAATAATCCGACAAAAGTTAAATATCTGCCTGTCTTATCAAAATTGCAGAACATAATATTAAACTGAATTGAATAAATTCACATTTCATAGTATACCATTAAAGTACCCTAGTTGGGTGAAAAAAGTGGCGAAATGTCGATTTATTTGTATCATGGATTTTCTCTTTATTGTACATTTTCGATAACATAATAAAGACAGAAATGGTATCGCATATCAAAAAAAAAAAAAAACTCTTATAGCAAAATATGAACAGATACATCAGCATTTCCTTGCATTTGTCATGAAGCTATCAATTTCAGCGTCACTGGATCAAACATATCCGGAAATCGATCAAATTTTTGAGCAAAAATTGCCAACTGCAAAAGAAATTTTAACGAAAATTTTAAACCGCTGGAGCATTAGAAATGTGTAATTAGCCGTATCAAACTCATCAATCTTATATAGAGCTTTCTTATTTCGTGTGCAAATTCATTATAAATTCTAAAGACGAATTACATCTTCGCGTACGAGATTTGAAGTCGAAAGTTCTGCTATCGTCGAAAAATTGATTGCAACCGGCTCATTTGGATCACCCGGTAGGCTCTTCAACATTTCCATGGCATCAAAAATCTGTCCTTTGTATAATAAGCAAATCGCCATGTTGTTGCATAGCTGGAAATTTTAAGGAAATAATATTTTAATGTTACTGTTCTTTTTTGCAAACATGTATAAATGACTAACGGGAAATATCTAATAAAAAATAACAGATTTATGCGGTTTGAAAGCAAACCATTTGAAAAACAGGTTATTAGAATTTACGAACAGCAGATATTTTAAATCCTCATTTAATCTAATAAAGAGATCAGAAAAAAATTGACTGAAATTTCAGTACTTCAGGAGAGGCGAGTGAATTCATACATTTTTGCAAGGTTTCGTAAGCTTCATTATAGTTGCCATAAAACATATATTTTAAACACCTAAAATATTCAAATTTTGTCAAAATGCATCAATTATTGAGAATGAAATTGAATTTTAAATTTTAAACAAAAAAATCTGTGCGTCGCAAAAATTTCTAAACAAAGCATCTTAACGAATACCTGTGTAAGATTTGGTCATCACAACCTGATGAAACAATTTCATTTGAATAATGTTCTAAGTTTTTTTGATCACCTATAGACATCGCCATTCTCATTAACATTAGTTTCAGGGCTATCCGTTGCTCAGAATTTAGCCCACCTGCTTTTGACAAACGATTATATAGGATCATGGACGTTGAATATTCCTATAATGCTAGAAATTATTTTTTGCAATAGCAGTCGTCATATTCGATGTACAATTACTGATTTATTCTTTTGTAGTTAATGAGTTTCTACAAACATATTTTAAAGATTAAGTTCGCTATTTCGAGAAAAAATAGCTAAATATACAACCTTTAGAAAAAATAAACTACGTGCACGCATTTTTTGAACTGCTAACAAACGATCCTTCCATATTTTAAAAAAATATTCGCCTTTGTTCCCTGAATTGTCCAGAACCTAAAATTGAACTTTGTTAATTTAGCTTCCAATTATAATTATGAAAACGCAAAATTTTGAAAGAAAATGCAATTTATATGTTACTCTGTTAACATTTTTCTCCAGCTTGTCAATTCTTTCCAAAGTTGCCCATGGATTAGAAGTGAAGAGTAATGCTTCAGCATGAACCAAACGCATACTGAATAGCACCAGACTTCCTAAAACTGAATAAAGTCCAAATCTCTTCAAACGACCAAAAACAAATAACTGCCGCCAAAAATTTGAAATCGTTTCGCCCATACAAAAATATGAGGTATTTTCAATGCCTGAACCTTTGGGGCTTTTCGGATACAGATTGGGATAGTACTGATAAAATAGATCTGGTGCATCTAGTTCCTCGAACGGTATCAACTCATCATTCAATAATGTATACAGCTTCAAAGCCATAAGCAATTGCAAGCGGCATGCCCATACCTACGAAAATCAAACCGACAAATTGGCATAAATTCACTTTACAGATCAGTTTTTAGCTTATATTTGATTGATACATCGAAAAAAATCAATCATTCTTACAGCATTATTACGGAATGTACGCAAGTACAAATAATCAAGGATACCAAAAGATATGTAACAAGATGTTACAAAGAAATTCAACGCCTGTCCATGTAATAATATTTCAAGCAGTAAACCTTGAAACTGTACTCCGTATTGTTCGAAGGCTGACCAGCCATCCCAAACCCCTGATTAACTTCTGTTAACAATTCAGCAGTTAAATTAACGGCAGCTCGAAGATGTCCATCAGCCTATAAACTTTCATACAATTATCGCTGAAATATTTAAAGCTTACAAGATCAAGATTACAAATTTTAGATCAGTGATATCCAGTATACCTTTAAAATCTTCTGAACTCCTTACTTTCATTGCTTATTTGTGATAACACTATTGAAAAATAATTTTGTGGAAATGTATTTTATCAAAAAAATTTTTTGAAAACGCCTCTTCCAATGATTTAAGAAGAATTTTATCATAAAATAAAGAACTAACAATGAGAAGATGAACACCATCCAGATCTTTGGAAACTGATGGCCGAATGACTGTTTTGTTAAGCTTTTGCTCTAACGTACTGGCCATCAAGTCAGGTAAAGTTACATTTGTCCTGCAAAAAAAATGTAATAGACAGCTTCACGATAGAGCACCAATATCCTGAATAAAACTGCAGAAATTAAAACCAAATAAGAAAATATGAATTCAAATACACCGTAAGGACACTTACTTCAAACCAGGCATGGTGTAGCAAATATCAAACTTTGCCAATGACAGCGCTTCTTTCAGCCTATCTGAATCCGGCCATTCTTGCATGCTGCCATCCGAAACCTTCTCCATTCTCTAGAAACCCAGATTATGTTATACTTCTGCAGCAAAATCTCCAAACTCACATTAAAAATTCAATCTGAAAAAAAATATCTTGGCTGTTATAGAACACAATTTCCCAATAGTAAAATGAGGTCCCGACTTCCCATGCAAAAACACTGTAAATATCTCGTCTTTGTTGATGTAATCGTTTATTGAGAACCATGAAGTTCACATACGATTTGAAAGCAAAAAAAACAAAATATCCAAAATAATTTTTGGAATGCGACGAAAAAAACTGATTAGGGTACACAGTTCAAAAAAATAATACAGCCATAAAATGACACTTCATCAAAAATACCCTGCCTCTTCTGAAAGTTTACTAGCTATTGTGATCAAAAGCTAGCATATTTTATCAACTTCGAGAATATCGCTACAACAAAGAATATATAAGTAAAAGATATGGTGCACATAAACGGCCCGTAAACAACAATTAAAGATAAGTCAATGACTTCAAATTTTTAACAATTTAAAGACATTCCCTACATAAATTCTGGGTGGTATAAGGATTGTTTTTGATAACATGTGGATCTGTGAACAGGCGTTAATACACAACTCATGGAAAATATAATTCTATGCATAATGACTAAAAACAACAATAAAAAAGAAACGAAAATGGTACAACCATAACAGTAAATAGAGATCCGTATCAACAAAAATTTCGAACAAAACCATAAAATCAACGTCGATTGGAGTGCCCTCCGGTGCCATTCTTCCTGCCTCCTCGATTTAGCATGCCTAGAAAATGTCACACATAGGTCGTTTTTCTTCTCTAGAGATTTCTGCATATATTTTAAATCTTATATTTTCCCAAAGAGTGTAAATTAAACTATGAAATTGTTGCATTAACAATAGTTGCTAATTTCCCTCAAGAAATGAATCTTAAACTTGAAATCGGATTAGTTAGTAAAATATGCTGTATTGCTTGGCAAATATGGTAACAGAAGGAATAAGACTTGCGTTGCATGACCATACGGTGATACACTATTAATTCAAAACAAGCCCGAAACGCTCACCACTATATTTTCCACCAGGTGGTACGTAGAAATGAAGAACAGGTCTTTTTCGTTTCTGTTCCGTTCCAACTTCCGACTCATAGTCTCGCTTTCTGGAAGAAGTCTATAAAGACCACAGATTTCAACATGCCTTAAAAAATCACTACATAGGAACAAAAACTATACCTGCTTTCCATCTTCCAGCTTGGTGTTATGACAAAAATAAAGGAAGGCGATTT